TCCCTCCCTCCGTCCCTCCCTCCGTCCCTCCCTCCTTTCCTTCTTTTCCCTGCCTCCTTCGCCTCCCTCAAGCCAGCAGCATACACTGTAGCTTTCATGCAACCAAGTGTTTTTCCCTGGCAGATAATTCCAATTACTCTACTTTCACGGAACAGCCCTCCCAATAATGAAACTGTTGGAAAGAACAACTGGAAAGTTCCCTCAGAGCCTAGAGCAATATTGCCAAACAGGCCTTTCACCGTGCACGTATTAGGATGCAGTTATGTTTTTTCCTTTGTGATTCTTTAACTTTTCTCCTGATTATCAAAATAACACTCCCTACAGAACACTTTGCAGCTGCAGAAAATTGAAGGGGAGCAGAAACCAATGGGCTCCTAGGCTTCTCAGAGCGGGCGCTGCTAGTATAAGGCGTGCTTTCCTTTTGGCATTTTCCTGTGTGCTTTTTCCTTTATGTGGTTGAGATCAGTCTATGGGTAGATACTCTGTAATTTGCATCTCGCTTTTTGTCACTTACCATTTAGCATGAATGCCTTTCCTCCAACAACACAGCACTTACGTGGGGCACCATGACTTGCTGGGCCATTCACTCCTCTCCTCTTATTTATCTGTGTTGTTTCCAGGTTGGTTTGCTTGTTTTGCTACTGTAAATACCTTGCTATGGAGAACCCACCATGCTGTTGTCCTGGAGTGTGATTTGACGTGGCTGTGAGAACTTAAGGCCCACCGCCCACAACCCAGGATGCACCTGCACCTGCGGCCTTCAAGTCACCTGGGGCCTCGGCTTTGGTGAACGTGCTGACGATCTTGATGTCAGGGAAGAGGGTCACCCCTCTGGCACTTTCAAATTGGGCGGCAGGTCTCCAGACGCGGTCGGTGCCGTGGAGGGTGATCTGAGGCTCGATGGCCTGCAGCACCATCACGTAGGCGTCCACGTCGGGGATGCTGATGCACACGTCTTCTCCAAAGCACCTGGAGAGAGCGCAAGACGAAGCCATCCATCAAGCGGCCATGGACAAGTGTGCATACAGCCACCCCCAGTCCTTGACAAGGCATCCTGATTGCCTGAGAGGCTCCAGGATGTCAACAGGCATTTAGGCTTAAAGACACATTATAGCCAAAATGACTAGCAATCTAGGGACGTAAAAAGGTTGGCTCCTGGGGGAAATGGGAATTTTCTATATCAGCAACAAGTAACCATTAAACCTTTCATGATCCTTTAACAAAGTATTCAATGGCAGCGTTAATTAGCAACTGACTGCCTGGTTTGTGCATTAGGATCTGGTAAGGAAATTGCTGGTTACAGCCATCTTACTAAGTGAGACTGCAGCTGAAGTCTCCTGCCACCGCCTGTCTGTGATCTCTTTACGGGGATATGACACAGGTGCACCTGTTCCAGGTGTGCCAGCAGGGAGCTACTGTGACCACGATCCTTTTCGGGATACACTGCCACTGTGATACCAGGAAGCAGAGGGTGTAATGACAAGAGCTAAGCCCGGCAGGTTAGACAGACAAGGGCCCCTGGCTGGCTCGGCCACCCCTGGCTGTGTGACCCTGGGCAAGGTGCTCGCCCCTGTGAACCTCGGCTTCTTCATCTACGGAATAGGAATGACAACAATGAATTGCCTTACAATAGTAAGGATTAAACGCGACAACGTTTAGAAAAGAAGCTGGCCCGAAGCCTGCATCATGGTTGGAGCTCAGTGATGTTGACACTTGATCTGCTCATGAGACCTCATCAGGTGTGCGTGTCATTGGCACTCTCTGCTGGACATCTAGGCCAAGACTGAGGCTACAGTGGAGAGCCCCTGGGTCCAGATGGATGGTCTGGGAATACTGGGTGGGCTCTAGCTGGTGGCAGTCATCACCCTTGGGAAAGTTCCTGAGGAAAGGGTAGGCTGGGTGGACCCCACGCTGAGCTATTCTCTCTTCTTCTCTGGGTGGGTGAGGTGTGAGAATGGTGCTGGGTTCCTGTTCCCAGTTTTCTTTGGCCTTTGCTGCATCAATCCCACAGTTGACAGGGGACATTCCTCCTCTCACCTGTTCCTGGAAACCTGGTCCCAGAGCTGGAGACTGGCCAGGGTGGTCCCTGTTCTTCATTGCAATGTGAAGCTGACCTGGAGGTGCCTGCTCCCTACCCAGGCCTCTGGGTGGGGGGCTTCAAAGTGGATGGAGGAGTAGCTCCTATGTCAATAGAACTATTGAATGAATTGCTATCTGTGGGCTTTATCCCGACACCTGTCCCAGACCTCAGCTACAGGCAGTCAGTAAACCCATATCTCCCACCCTTGTTCTTGTCTTTCTGGGTCCTTCTCCTGGCTCCAGGTGTTTTCCTGGGGTCCCCTTTCTAGCCACCTGTAGCAGCTACTGTGGCTGAGGAATGATCTGATAGGTGGGTAATGGAGTTATCCATGGGCTTCAGTAACAGTCTCATCCACTTAAATGAACTCTGCTCCCTGGGGATAAGAGTGAGCCTGCTCTTTCTCTTGAACATTCATGCTATTTAGGAGCTCTACAAGGCTGGATTGGTTAATTTAATTAATCAGCATTGGTAAAGCACTTACTATGTACCAGGCACTGTACCCTTAAATCACACCACTTAAAAAACAGCTCTCTGAGAATTTACAGAGAACAGTGCCTTCTAGGCATTAAATCAGATACAGAAGAAAGCAGAGAGCTGGATTTGAGTTGGCAAAACAACAGAATATTTTCTTTAAGAAGAAAACAGGAGACTAAAGATCTATTGGGCGTCCTCATGGGGATCACAGAGAAGCTGGGAACAGAGGATGAGAAGTGAAGCCTGTGTGGCAAGGGGACCACCCCACTGCCCCAGCGCAGCCCAGGTGCCTGCCATCCACTCACTGGACTTTGGAAGAGACTTTGAGGCGCCGCACGCCCGCGGTCGGGAACTGCCTGGAGTTGATGTAGGAGACCTTCTGCAGGGCGCGGTTGATGTTCCCGATGTCGTCACCTTCCATCACCAGGACGGACTGCGAGGGGTTGAAGTGATACTGGAAAACAGCAGGAGGTATCACAGGAGAGAATGGCCAACAAGGAACCCAGTCCCTGGGGACCCTCCATCGCCATGGGAAGGCCATGGAGGCCAGAACAGGCATCTCCCGCAGCAGCAGCTGTGTGCACAGAAGGCTGTTTTAACCCCCCCTGGTGGCCTTCAGGACCCTCCCCTTTGAGGTCCCCAAGGATTATAAACATCCCTAGGATGGAATTCTGAAATTCCAGTCACGGTGCTCCTGCAGCTCAGTCCTCCGTGGGTGGCCCATGCTCTGTGCTTCTGTGGGGCCCTGACCAGAAACCTTCAGCCCTTGGACTGTCCATCCCTCAGCCAACAACCCAGAAACTCGGGGCTTCAACTCCTTCCGCTGTCCTTGTCTTTGCCTTGGACTGCTCTTCAGTTCGCCCTGCACTCACTCCCTGGCCCATGCCCCACCATCTTAGCTTCCGATCTTAAAGCTCTTTTTTTTAGTTAATGGCTTTCCTTCTCTCAGATTTGGTTCTCGGTCTTGCTTGCTTGGTGCTAAACTCTGGTTTCCCATGAACTTTACTCACGTGCTGCTAATACACCTGACTATTGCCCGAGGTTTCTTATCTATTCGTTCCCTTCTGAGTCCCTGGTATCCCATACTTGGTGAGGGCCCAGGGGCACCATGTTCCTCACTGAGTCATGTGGGTCCTCAACTTCTGCTGCTCTACGAAACCCCTACCAGTTACTCTTCTTTGAATGGAACATGGAGAACCGCTTTAGTACTGGCCCGAGTTAGTGATCTTGACATACTTCTGAGCAAGAATTATTAGGAACTGCTATTAATAAGATGTCAGGAACATACCTGTGGATTTGGCTTATGTATCCAATGCTCATGTGATAGGAAAGAGGGGCATGAATCTATTTTTATGTACCTACTTAGCAACAATTATTTATTTTTCGACTAGATAATATATCCACATGGTTCAAATGTATATGTGTGCTAAGTGAATGTGTCCATCTCATTTCTATCTCCTACCCTTCTTATCCTATAGGCAACCCAATCTTATCCTATAGGCAACCACGGTTATATTAATTTCTTAGTGACAACTCCATTATTCATAATTAGTTGCTTCCACTCCCAGTGAGAGGCTTATACATGCCTGTCCTATTGTCACAGGCTTGATCATGTGACTTAGGGCACCCTTCCCTGCTGGATATACATTTTTGCCCTGTTGCACTCAGTAGTGGTCACATGATCACTTGCTTGGCCACCAAAATGTGGGCAGAGTATTGTTTGCTTGATATCCATGTGGAAGATTTAGCAACCAGTTCATGGTTTGGCTGTCACTTTCCCTCTGCCATGAAACCTGAAAGGTTCCTTAGGGTCTGGTCCATCAGCCTGGGTCTCACAGTGAGGGTGCTATGAATCAGAGCTGCAACCCATCTATAATAGACATGCAGTATGAACAATAAAAAATAGTTGTCATATAAACCACTGAAAATTGTTAAGTCATTTGTTACTGCAGCATAACTTAGCTGACTTAGTGTGAGAGAAAAATAAACTTTTAAGCCTTAAGCCATTGAGATTTTGGAATCATTTTCTACTGCAATCACATAGCCCATTGGAGGAATCCGGCCCTTCCCGGGCATGATTCTCACTTCCCCAGGGCTATGTGGCATCCCTGGAAGATAACAGGCTGTGTGGACGGCCATCCCCCAGTTCCCGCACACACTACAGACGGAGTACAACTCTGGACAATGTACTTCTCCTTTCTGGATTTTATTTCCTCATTTAAAATAATGAGGATATTAATATCTACCTGCCTGGGGCTTAAATGAGATAACGCATATAAAGTGTCAATTTATGGTAGATTTTGTCATAATTCTTAGTGTTGTAATTATTTCTGCACTGAGTCTTTGCCTGTGCTGGTTCCCTTGCCTTCGCTGCTCATCTTTCCCCACGATCCAGTTCCCTCCTGTACCGAAAGCCCTGAGCAGGGTCTCTCTGAGCCGTGACATCTGTCACAAGCAGCACTCCCTGTGCTGGATGCAGGGGCCCCTGGCCTCGTGCAGGTGACGCTGCAGTCAGCTCCGGCCGGCTTCTCTCTTGCCCCGGATGGCTCACTAGCTGCCCTGCACTGGCGAGTCATTCTACAGCAGCTCTGAGTGCTCGCAAATCACCAGATTCAGACTTGAGCAGATTCAAGGTCATTCTTCTAAAAACACCACCATGTTCCCTCAGGTTTTTCTGCCCCTTCACCATCCCTGCTATGGTATAGTAGAGTTGCCATTTGTCTGTCTGTCTGCTGCCCCCAGCATCTGTGAGTACCTCGAGGGTAGGGTCTACTGACTTTTTCAGCATCAGCACAGGATCTAGCACATGACAGACATGAAGCAAGCTGATGACCCTGCAAAGAAGGCCAATGTCTGAGCCTTGCATCAGGGCTGAACAGGAAAATCAAGCAGTTCTTCCAGAGGGATGGGTAGCCAGTAACCCGGGCAATCAGCAGCGGGCACATTCCCACTGTGACCACCTCAGGAGAGGATGGGTTAGGGGATGTGCTGGATCTCCAGGTAATACCTTAGCCTGGTTGCCAGAGCATCCCAAGGATGGCTACAGGGTCTAGCCATCAACATAGTTCTTGCAGGATCAATACAGCCTTCTATTAAACAGGTGTTTTTTGGTTTGTTTGTTTTTAAACTGCAATGTTCACAGCCCTGTGGCATGGCTGAGGTTGGTCTCTAGTTGTGTGGGATATAAGGTGATATTGGCATCATCATAGGGGCAGGAGATTGCTTCCTGGGGACCCAGCAAAGGGTGACAGCATTTTCATTGTGCCCTGGGAAGCTGTGCTGTAGCCACAGTGATTCCTTTCTTTAAGCCAAGAAGCTGCTACACAGATGGCCTTTGCAGAGTGGTCAGCTCTGAGGGTTGGCTTGTGTCATCAGCCACTCAGCAGGATGGGACATGGGTGAAATTCTTGCTCAAAGTCTTGGCCTGTTCTTCGATGAAAGGGCTTGGCAATCTAGGCACCTTGCCAGTCCCTTGGACACCTGCCAGCCTCTCTGGGCTGGGCCAGATTTGCCATGTTAGAGACTCCTCTGTGACAACTGTCAGCCAGGCTTACTTTTCAAAAGAAGTTGGGGAAGCAGCAACACCAAGTGTAAGGCCAGCCCAGGTGGAGAAGGAAACTGTGATTTTTGTGAGCCCATTTATTAGGTTTGCTAGGGGAATCTATATCTGTATCTATATCTATATCTATATCTATATCTATATCTATATCTATATCTATATCTATATCTATATCTATATCTATATCTATATCTATCATCTATATCTATATCTATATCTATATCTATATCTATCATCTATATCTATATCTACATCTAATATCATCTATATATATATATATAACATCTATATTTATACCTATATCTATATCTCATCTATATCTATGTCTATATCCATATCTGTATATCTATTTCTCATCTATATGTATATCTCTGCTTTATCTAATATATAAATATGTATATAAAGATATACATAAAATTCAGTTATTACAACATCTTTGCAAAATGTTAAGTCCATTTTCACATGAGGGAAGTGGGGCTTAAAGGATAGAGCACCTTGCCCGAGGTCAGGCAGCTAGGAAATATCCACACTATGATTTGAACCAAGGATTGTCTTGTTCCAAAGTTCCTGCTCAGTCCCACTCCTCCACACTGTGTAAATGACAAACTGCAGCACTTATGCTATAGAAATCAGAGCGGGGCATTCTTCAGGAAGGTGGCTATTCCACAGGGTCTTGAATGGGTACAAGACAGCAGCCACCCAACCATTTAAGGACTCTGGACAAGCTGGAAAGATACTCAGAAATGCGCATGATCCAGGGGAAAACAAGCAAAAAAGAGAAAGTGAGCGGGGCTCTGTGAGCTCACAGGAAGCCTCCTTGATCCCTGGAGGACTTCGCTTCTTTCAAGTAACCAGAGAGGAGGGAGGGGACCAGGATTTGCTAAAGAAAATGATAGTCACTATTCAGAAACAAACTGAGGGATAAATGGAGGGAGGTCAGGCAGGCAGGGTGTTTTAATAATTTTAAGAATGCATTTTAATCTGAGTTTGGACAAGTCCCTGAGCCCCAATCTCCTTATTTCTGAAATGGGGTCATACTATTTAATTTGTTGTGAGGAGTAGGGATAATGAACTTAAAAGAGTCCCAGTGGGTGCACTGTAAATTGTGTGCCTCATGATTAGCTTCTCACGCAGTGCTCCAGTTCTCGATAGCTGCGTCCTGAGGGTGTAAAAGGATCCTCTGCACCGACTGGTTATGAGCAGGTGGTATCCTGGAAAGTCGGATTAGCCGCCCCCATCTCCACAGCTTTCTGTGCCACTTAGCTCAGCGCCTCCTCTTTTCATGGGCTCTGAGCTATAGAGAAGTTGTAAGGTTCTCAATGTGTAAGCCTAAGGTGTGTGGCTTTCAGGTTCAACATCTTTGGTGCATTTGTCCTGTAGTGCTTGGAATCGGGAAACTGCGCCCCCACAGGGTGATCTGGATCAGGGAAGACCCACTTGGGGCCAGGGAGCAAATCCAGAATCCGGCAGGGAGGGATTGCAGGACGGATTTCTGCATCACTGGCCTGACGAAACACCGAGGAAACAACACAAAGGGTAGGTCAAGGATCAAACCCCAGGCTCTGCACACGAGGATATGTGTGTGAAATGTGCCGTGAGGGGCTTGCCTGGACCAGCTGCCCTAAAACAGACTGACTTTCCACTAGAGGCAGTCCTGTGAGTTTCTTTCAGTGGCAGGCGATTATCTATTGAAGCACCTCTGTGTGTGTGTGTGGTGTTTAATGCACGTTAAACAATGTTCTGGAAAGCCATTCTTGCCTAACCGTGTGTGTTCTACCATCATCTCCCTCTGACCCAGTCTCCAGAATGAGCATCCTGAACCCCACACAGGCTCAGATCATGTTCCCTTGCCCAGAGTACTTCATGGCTGCCTGCTACCGACAGAAAAAAAAAGTGAACACCTAAACATAGTTAACAAGGCTCCATGACCTGGCCTCTGCCTACCTCTCTGGTTACACTTTCTACCTTTGGTCCTGCAATTCGGGCACTTATAACACTAGCCCTGGAGTCCTGTGTGCACTGCGGGGCTCCTCAGACCTCTGCCATCACTCAGGCCTTTGGCTCTGCCTAGAGTGACCGCCTGCCCTCTCCCCCTTCTGTACCCCCTGCCTTTTTCCTGGCTGGTTCCTACCCATCCCAAAACATTCTGCTCAGACTTTGCCTCCTCCAAGGAGCCTTCCCTAACTGCCATTCCCCCAGGTTCTGAGGCTCTGAAGCAGGATTGAGCTCCCTGAAGATGAAAAGCTTGGGACATTCATTTTTATGCCCCTCTAAGCCCGGAACTGAATACATGGATGTCCATGGACTGTTTTGTGACTCGACCTTGACTTAGAAAAGCAAGATGTGCTCAGGTCACTAACCCCTCCAGTCTGCAATGCATCAGAGCTGCACAAGCCCCATGCAGCTTCCATCAGAGGGCTCTCCGTTCCAGGGCTGCCTCCTCCCGGGGCAGGAGAAGCAGGCCAGGGAGGGAGGGCAGGGCAGAGCTCCCCAGGCAGCACCGGGTGGGATGGGAGCTGGGCTGGGAAACTTCTGCTCTGGTCACACCCTCCTTGGGAAATGACTAAGAAGGCAAACTGCAGAGTGTTGGCGCCTCAGGAGGCTGTCTAATGCCCCCAGAGGCAGAGGGAAGCCCACCTGCCTTCCAGAGAGGAGGCTATGGGGCTGCCTGCTCCGATGAGTCCGTTGTGATTGAGTCATGGCTCCCATGATGTTTATCCTGCTCTTTGCTCAGGACCCCAGAGCCTTCGTGCTGGCAGGTGCTCCTGAGGTCCAGGAGAGGCCAGACCACCCCTGCCCGTCGGGGAGACGCTTGCTGAGGCTCAGTGGACCACGCCCTGCCCTCCCCTCCCCTCAGGAGGAGCTTTCCTCAGAATGCAGCTTTGTCTCTCCTGGATTATTCAAATGTTTGTATTTTGCATGATCAAAATCCTGAATCTGTTTACACTCTCTTTGATGGCCAGAGATTGCTCAGGGCTCAATCTATGCCGCACCTAAACAAAGAAAGACCCAGCAACCTCCACATCTGCTTTTTAATTCTACCTCAAGGGGACTGACCTTCCTTTCTAATTTGTATCTTACATGGTCCAAATTTTTTAGTTGTCAAAATATCTTGGAGTGTATTCCTGCATGCTGCTTCAGTTCCTTTAGGGGAGTAAACAACAAAGCAGCTCACCAACCGACGAAGAGTTGAAATATAATGACTCCCTCCAGGTAGACATTGAACATGGGCCTGCTTTTGGGTAGGGAACTGATTATCCATCCACAGGGCTTCATCTAGGAATTTCAGGAGATGGAAGCAGGTGTCCTCATGGAGTCACAGTCACTAATCTTCCCCCTGTGGCAGCACCTTGCCGTGACACCATCTCTGTGCAACTGGACAGGAAAGGCCTCCATTTCCCAGAGTGTGCTGGCTCCGGGCAGCCTCCTTCTCATAAATCTCATTGCAGGTGATGCTGGCCCCTTCCTTACCTTTATTCCTTGGCCGAGGCTTTCCAGGGAATTAATATCCAGCCCTTCCTTGCAGGCCTGCAGGCAGGAAATCACCTTCTGACTGTCCATTTTCCCGGGGCGGATGGTGAGACTGGCCAGGCTGCCGTGGAAGAACTGGGCAAACCGCGGCTTGGCGACTTCGCCTCCTGAAAGATGAAGAAGCGCTGCTGTTTGCCCTTGGAGGTGGGGTGTGAAACACCACTGCAAGGCACCACCTGGCTATGGAGCCAAGGACACAGGGACCGTGTCTCCTAAATCTGAACTTTCCCTTCCAGGTGGTGAGCTTGGTGGCCAGACTCTCAACAAGAGGATGTTATATGCCGCCAAGACCTTGGCACTCCCAGCTGCACCTGCCTTAAGAATCCTGGAATTTCTGAATTTTTAAATAGTGACTTTCAGAGACACAAATGGTTTTAAAAGGCAGGAAGGCCCTACTGATTAAAAATAGGTGGAACAAGGAAGCTCCCATTGATTGAAAGCCTGCTCTGTGCCAGGCTGTGTGCTAGGGACTTCCCCTGAGTAAGTCTGCGAAGACTGTATCATTGTTTCCAACTGACATCTGAAGAATTTTGAGACTCAGAAAGGCTGGGGGACTTGCCCCAGGACACACAGCTAAACTCTGGAGCTGGTACTCCAGTCCTGGCCTGTCTGATTCCAAAGCTGCCATTTCTCCCCTATGTTCCACTAAGGTTAGCAGGCACTGGAGGAATCCCAGGAACCCCACACCCATGGGCCCTCGCTCTCTCAAAATGAGTTGACTTCACATCAGCTCAAATCCAGGTTCTTTGGCTTATGAGGATGTCCTTGATTCTGCCTACCTCTGACTTTCTTCTCTTGTTTTCTGTTCCTTACTCACTGAGCTGAGTCCTATCGGAGCTGGGGTCCACTTCCCAGCATGTGAAATTGTCCAATGTGGCTTGTGTTGCAAAGCCAGACTGGGAGTTGCCTCCTTGTATTTTCTCCATGGTTTTCCAAATCAGCCCTCCCCGCTAACGTCCATGCGAATCCTCACCTCTCCTGGGGGGCCTTCCCCACTGGCTTCCCTGAACACAGACCCCTTCTGTCTCTGGGCAGCTTCTCCAACACACTTAGCCTTGATCTTGCACTTTCATTTGTTCAGAGAAGAAGCAGGACATATAGGTCAGACTTTAGCTGTGCAATTCCCTGAGGCTTTGTTGTGCTCTGAACCTCTGCTTGCTGGGAGGGGTCATGTGTGTGTTGTGCCTCCTGGTTCTCCATTGCTCGCTCCGCAGGCTCTGCAGCCTCCCCAGTGCCCCTCAGCTCCTGCAATCCAGGGCCAGCACCCCCCAGTGTGCTCCAGTGAGATACCTCCTTGTGAACAACTCTCCCAACACCACAGAGGGTAGACCTTGAAGGGGTTCTGCTCAACTGACACCACAGCGACTTCTCTGCCCTTCGGTGAGCTGTGCTGTGTCAGCACAGTCTGGATCAGTCTTGGGGGAGGGGGCAGAGGGATCTCCCTTGGGTGCCCTATCTCAGCCCTGTGGGAGTGTGTGCTCCTGACACCTGCATTCCTATATTCTTTAGTGTTCTCTCTACTTCTTAATAGCCAATCTTTCATTTTTCCAATTCTATTCTACAGTTCATAATTCTTTCTGTTTTACTGTTCAAATTACTGTGTTGTTTCTCTCTACTGTTTGGGTCCAAACTGCTACACCCTCTATGTTTGCACAGACTTTTGCTCACACCCATTCCTCCTCATACTGAGATACCACCTTCAAACTGTGTAGTTACAGATGAGCTTCAGGCTTAGAGAGAAGTAAGTGACCCAAGGCCACAAAAGTAGGAAGTGGTGAACTGTGTGCCTCAGAGTGTGAGTATATCCATCCAGGCAGGGGACCAGCAGGGGCATCCTAGTGGTACTGGCCAGCCCAGTCAGTGAGGCCTGGAGAGAGCCCCTAGAGCATGTCACCTAGCTCCACTCACCTGCTCACTCAGCAGCTCCATCCTTAAAGACCAAACTTTGCAACTCTTTTGGATGCTAAGACATTTTCCTACACCCTATTTTCTCTCAGCAAATCATTCACGTTTTGTATTTTTGATTCAGAAATACCAGATCTGTGATGTACTCTATTTATCAGTGATGCAGCTCCAGGAAATCAATCCAATTAGCATTTTGCAATAGGAGGCCAGCATAAAATGTGAAATATATTTGCACTCAGGGGTTGTTATGATGCAGGGTTTTAAAATATAATGGATACATTGAAAATCTCTTTCTTTTATTATCTAGCCCAGAGTGTCTGCATATACCACATGGCTCCTCTGTTAACATTTAGATATAAACATGTTCATGAATTATTTTAAGAAAAAAATAACCTGATTTCTAATACAAAGAACCTTCTCTAAATCTTTGCGAACATGATTTTGGATTCCTGAGGCTAGACCTGCACACATTTTAAAAGCATTTGCTGCATGCCTAGCCTTCTGTGAGATTCAGTTAATTATAAGATGTGGCCCATGCTCTCAGGAGCTTACATTTAGTTGGGTGAATAAAGTATAGAAAGTGGGAAAATGTAAAAGAGGAAATTGCCAATACAATAGCTATTCCAAGGCAGAGCGTGATTAATTTTCAAACAAGTGATACAGATAATGTGGCCAATAGATCACAGGGAAAAAAGTAACAGCCATCACTTATGAGGTCCTTCAAACAAGGTGAATTCTTTCATACGCTATTTTATTTAATCCTTAAGTGGTAAGATAGTACTTTGAGATCTTAGCCTCTACTCTTTTAATTTCTTCCCTCCAGCCTCCATATCTGGCAGTGCTCATTGCTACAGGGAGGACTGTAGTGGGGAGAAGAGCAGGCTGGGCTTGAAACTGAGTCTCTTCTCCAGTTTCATTTCCAGAAGCCTAAACTCTTAAGAGGGTGGGGGAGGTCTGGGTATGGGTCAACATTTGGGGGAAAATAGAGGAAGAAACTCTGGAATCCCCCAGACTAAGAAATGATTCCCCAGACTGGGTGTGTGTGGAGGAAAGTGAGACAACAGAGATGCAGAGTGAGGACACATGAGCCTGTCACCTGGGCTGTGCCCTGGCAGGGGTGTGTGATGTTGGGAGGGAATGCAGGCCTGAGCATCTGGATGGATGAACAGGTGGTCTTACAGAGAGAGCTTGAGGAGCAGGGGAGGTATTTCTATGCCCTAAGTAAGGTAAGGAGACACCGAGAGAGCTGCCAGTGCTGAAGGACCATTAGTGACTGAGGACCAGATAGGTGAGCACCATTTGGAAGTCTCCTCAACACCCTAACATCATGTAAATCCCCCTGAAATCAGCTGGCACCCTAAGGAAATTCCAAATCTGCTAAGGTTAAGTCTCCCCACTCAGATGGAATAGGGCCTTGAAATGAACCTAAGATGGATGTGAAAAAGCTAATCTTTTTCTTTGTGACCTCAGATTCTTCCTTGCTGCACTTACAACTCCTTTTACATATGATGTTTTCCAAGTTAGGTTACTTGTCCAAGGCCATACAGCCAGAACTTAGTGAAGTCTAGATTCAAACTCTGACCGTGTTTGCTCCCAAGCCTTTGACTTGCAGGCCACACAATGAGATGTGGCTGGGAGGGTTCCAGGGGGATTTCTTAGAGGCTGCTTGATGAAGATGGGGACAGGCTGGGACTGACACACTGCTGGGAGAGTGTCTAATTACACTGGGTTCTGTGGACACTGTATGAGTTCAACAGCAACTCCCAATGATTTGTGCCAAGTCTGCTGAGAAACATGGTTGTCTTGAAAAGTAGCAGCATTTGGCAAATGTGATTTAACACAGCCTGTGTTCTTCTGAGTCAGAGTATGCACTAGGAATGAATTTTCCCTCTGCTTTCTTTCAAGTGAGAGATGGGGCCCACTCACCCTAAAAGGAGCTTCAGTAATGCCCACTTTCCTTTAAGTATGAGTAAAAGCTCAGTGCATACGAATGTACTAGGTTCTCCTTCTGCAAAATGTGTGCAGATGCTGCGGACCTTTTCTTTCCTGCTGTCATTCCCATGGCTAGTTAGTTTGAGAAACACACGGAAAGGATGGGGGGCCACGTTCCCCCTTGCTTGAGTCAGATGCTGCTCTGTGCATGGCTGGCTGATGGGGATGCTTCTCAATGAACACAATTTCATGGATGGTTGGGTATCAATTTTGAGCAATGCAAATGGTGAGGCCATCTGAAATCTTGCTTTCTCTCATTTTCTCATTTCAGCAATAGAGACATCCACGGAAGGCAAGGACTAAGTGAAGTGTGTAATAGACCCCCATAAGCTGCAGCTTTAAAATTGCCCACATGACCCCAGAGGGTTGCAACTGTGGGTTGCAGGTGACTTGTGGATACCGATGATATGTCATCATGGACGGGCAAGACACATTCTCAGCAAGCTTTCTCAACTCCTCAATTTTTATGTATCCATCTCTCTAAGCTTTCCAGCAAATATTTATATAGCATGTTCTAAGTGTGCAAAACATACAGCTTATGGATGACCTCAACGTTAGCTCTCTGGGAACCTAAATTCATGGAGTTGGAAGGGCCCTCAAATATCACCAGTATATCTCCTTCATCTTCCAGATAAAGAACTGAGGAGCATGGAAGCAAGACACAGTTTTCAAAGACCCAGAGTGGATAAAACACCAGCAGTGAGGGTCTGGAATGTTCCTCTTCTGACACCAAACTTCTCTTTCCACACTCAACCGTGGGACCTGATGGGCCTGTGTTTACCTTTAGCCCTCAGCGTGACTTTGTATGATCTGTGGGAAAAATGCCCAGAAAGTTTGGGCAAATGATTTGACCTCAGATTCCAGAATCCTCTGGCCTTCCTTACTTGGCTGTGGAACACCTAGGAGCAGAGGTGATGTAGCAGCATAAGTAAAGGTGGGGACTCTGGTGGCACAGATGTGGGTGCAAATCTGAGTTCTCTGTGCCCTTACCAAGGTACTGGTCTTCCCTAAGCTTCAGTTTTCTCATCAGCAAAATGGGAATTGTAATCATACCCACACTGTTTTAGGGATGTTTAAGGAAAAGCTGCAAAGAGGTCAGCACAGAGCAGGTGCTCAAAGGCGGCTGCTAGTTCGAGTGGCGTCAAGAGCCAAGGAACTCCAAGAAAGGACTGTGACACGCCAGTCTCTCTGTCGCTCTTTCCAGGGGCCT